CTCTTGAGACCCACCCACATCAGCATCTCTATCACCAACTAAGACCTGCCTGAGAGATACTTGTGCTGTGCCTGCATTCCTACTCCCCTTTCTTCACAACCACATCAAATGGGAAGGCCAAACTTACAATGGCAACTCCACCAACCGCTGAAAGCTCTCTTGTTCCCCCATCCCAAGGCATAGAGCCAAAAGATCTGCCACCACCCCCTACCAACTCGATTCATCACATTTCACACAGTTGGCCACTTCTGTAGACAGACACTAAACTTATATTACCAGTAATTGCCATCCGCACAGCCTGAGGACCTCCCCCTCTCCAGAGAGAGATACTAGACCCACATCAGCAATAGCAACAGTACTGGTAAACTGAGGAAAAGTCCAAAGTATCTCAACCAAGCTCCTGAAGATTAAATGTAAATATCTTCTAAGTAAGCAGAGGGTTTGCATCTGTACTTAGAAACTTCACTCAGCTTAAGCAGAACTAGGATTATTTCTGATACCTCATTTCAATATTTAAACTTAATTGCCCAAAGACTCAACCCTAAACCCCATACAAAGAGCTGGCCACCTGATAAGTTGTAATAATAGGAAAAAAGCTTAAAACACTCATTCTACAATAGAAATGAGGTTTCCATACAAAGAAACACTACTAACAACCTAACTCCAGATGCCTAGGTCATGTGGCAAATATACAAACATGAATTCACAAAACAATAAGTCTCTATCAAAAATTAGTTCTTCCACAGTAATGTCACTAAGAAACGTGTACTTAGATTATGTACAAGACAACTGTGTCAAAATATAAATAGTAAACATTATCAAAGAACTCAAAGAGAATATGAATAAATGATATAATGAAGACCTGAAAAACACAAAACAGTTTAATTAAATGATAAAAACAATTGAAGATATGAAAACAGAATTTAATAAAGAGATATAATTTCTAGGGGAAGCAAAAATGAAATAAAACTTGAAATGAAAAATTCAAACGAAAAAATTCAAGCATTCGGTCAAAAAAAATCAGAGAAAAGCCTTCCCAATTCATAGGGCCAAGTGGAAGAGAGAATGCCAAGTTTTTAAGACCAGGTAGAAGAATTTGTCCACATAATCAAAGAATATGTCAAAACCAAGGGAGGGAGACATGCACACCTCTAGGACACTATAAAAAAGACCAACCTAGCCAGGTGGTGGTGGTGTATGCCTTTAATCCCAGCACTTGGGAAGCAAGAGCAGGCAGATCTCTGTGAGTTCAAGGCCAGCCTGGTCTGGGACAAGCTCCAAAGTTATAGAGAAACCCTGTTTTGAAAATAAAAAAAAATTTAAAAAGACCAAACCTATGAATAATAGGCATAAAAAGAAGAGACCCAGGCCAACCAAGGCACAGAAAATATTTTCAACAAAACAACACAACACAAGATAACTTCTTTAATACATGAAAAGAGATGTCTATTAAGATCCAAGAGGCAATGAGAATAACAATGAGAGGGAAGCAGGAAAGAACTATGTATAGCACATAACAGTCAAAACATTAAATATGCATAGCAAAGAAAGGATATTGAAAGTAGCAAGAGAAAAAGATCAACTCTCACATACAAAGCAGGCCATCAAAATCACAACAGATTTTGCAATGGAGGCAAATAGGACCAATGTTCTATGACTTATGAGAGGTCAAAGAATCATCCCAGACCTCTATATCTAACAAAGGCATAAGTCATAACAGAAGGAGAAAGGAAAAATTTTCAAGACAAAATGATATTTAAGGAAATTAGTATCACTAAGTAAACTCTACAGAAGATAATGCAAAAAAATACTTAATCCTGAAGATAGGTTGAATACACCTACAAATGCACAAGGAACAAATAACCAATTTCAGAACACTGAATTAAAGAGATCTAATAGAAAATCACAACAGCAACAAAATGACAGAAATTAATACACGTTTTCAATAATAACATCATTTTTTTTATTTTCAACATCCCAACAAATACATACAGACTAACAAATTGAATCAGAAAACAAGATCCATCTTGTTGCTACCTTCAAGACACAACCCTCATGACCAATGATACACATTACTACAGGAGAAAAAGATGGAAAAAAGTATTACAATCAGATGAATCAAAACAGGCTTCAAACCACAACAAATTAGATGAAACCCTTATATCCTCTCATTGATGAAAAAGTCCAAGAATAGGATATAACAATCCTAAACATATATGCACCAAAAAATAGCAGCCAATTTTCATAAAAGAAATACTATTAGCCTAACACCACAGATAAACCCCAAAACAGTGGCACAGGTTATAGTTTCAAGACCGAATTTTAACCAATAAAGAAGTTATCTGAAAAAGAACTGAAAAAATAAATAAAGGGACTCTGGAGTTAGATGACATCAAAAAATTAAATGGACCTAATACATATACAGAAAATTTTACCCACAGATTGCACATTCTTCTCAGCAGCCCATGAGAGTTCCCATCAAATGAGACATGAAACAAATCTCAAATGCAGAAACATCAAAATCACATGCTCCATTTTATCTTAACACCAGACAAGACAGAAAGCACACTAATTCGTGGAAGTTAATCAACTCAATAGTGAGCCAAAGTTGGGAGAAGCATGACGGTTACTAGCTTATTTTCCTAGAATTGAAAAAAATAAAATACATACTGAAAGCAGTCATAAGAAGCAAGTATATAGCACTGGGTTCCTATATTAAAAGATTTGAGAGATCTCAAAAAATTATTTGATGATTGATATACCTGAAAGTAAGAAAAACAAAAATAATCAACACCCTAAAAAGTAGGTGGAAAAGGATAATAACAGTCAGGGCTACTCAGCAGTAAAAAACAAGGACTTCTTGAAGTTTGCAGGCAAATGGATGGAAATAGAAAACACTATCCTGAGTGAGGTAAGCCAGACCCAAAAAGAGGAACATGGGATGTACTCACTCATATTTGGTTTCTAGCCATAAATAAAGGACATTGAGCCTATAATTCGGGTTCTTAGAGAAGCTAAATAAGAAGGAGAACCCAAAGAAAATCATATAGGCATCCTCCTGAATATTAACCTTCATCAGGCGATGAAAGGAGACAGAGACAGAGACCCACAATGGAGCACCGGACTGAAATCTCGGGGTCCAAATCAGGAGCAGAAGGATAGAGAGCACAAGCAAGGAACTCAGGACCGCGAGGGGTGCACCCACACACTGAGACAATGGGGATGCTCTATCGGGAACTCACCAAGGCCAGCTGGCCTGGGTCTGAAAAAGCCGGGGTTAAAACCGGTCTCGCTGAACATAGCGGACAAGGAGGACTACTGAGACCTCAAGAACAGTGGCAACGGGTTTTGGATTCTACTGGACCTATTGGTTTCGTGGGAGCCTAGGCAGTTTCTTGGATGCTCACCTTACTAGACCTGGATGGAGGTGGGTGGTCCTTGGACTTCCCACAGGGCAGAGAACCCTGATTGCTTTTTGGGCTGACGAGGGAGGGGGACTTGATTGGGGGAGGGGGAGGGAAAGGGGAGGCGGCGGTGGGGAAGAGACAGAAATCTTTAATAAATAAATAAATAAATAAATTTAAAAAAAATAAAAAAAAGAATGTTTGCGAAAAGTCATAAAGAATCATAGTTTTATTTACCTAAAATTACATTAAATACCTATAAATATATATGGGTACTGTGGTAAAGTGGGTAGGAGTGAGAAGAGCAGGTGAGGAAAAACAACTAAAATAAAGTATTGTGAAAATGAAAATGTGTTGCTTTGTAAGCTAACTAGAAAGTAAACGTTGGAAGTCATAAGGCCGGGCATATACTATGTGGCTACCCTATCAGAATTTGTGCAGTTCACCAATAGAACCCCAGAAGTCTGTCACCTTGGTAGTTTTTCATTCATCTTAGCCCTTAGTAAGGATTGATAGATCCCAAATGTTTTCACATATTACCAACTGAGTTCAGTGCCTTTAAACAAAATTACTAACAATAATAACATCTTTACCAAGTGGAGTCTAGGTATTGAACAAAGAGAGATATGTCAATGCTCTGTTCTCTCAATGGACAAAAAGAAAGCCGATCCCCACGTTATTTTAAGGAAGGGCTACATACATTTTTTCAATGACTAAAAATGAAACATCAGAAGATAAAAGTACAAAGGGATGCCTTGTATCTGAAGGCATTAAAACCTCACAGCTGCTTTGAATTAAATGAAAGATTGTAAAAGAGGTCACTTTGCCTCGGTTTATCCTAGCAGTGCAGTGATCTGTCTAGAGTTAGTTAGGAAAAGTAGCTCAGAGGAGGAACACCTGCTGTAAAAGGTTTTTAAAATTACCAACCCTGCTTGTTTAGAAACGGATGCCTTTTAATTTTACCTACTAGGCTTTCAAACTATGCTTTTGTTTTATGTTAATAATGTTCATGCCATTTTCCCCAAAAAGTCTTTGCTCTGATCTAACACATTTGGAAACCTGCATTCTTTAAAAACCCCACAACACACTGTCAATTGAGAGGGGGCTATATTATCAAATAATTCAGACTGTGATACAAATGGCAAGTCAAACACAACTACTTCTGTCACTTTAAGTAACCAATTTTCAAACACACGACTACCTAAAATATTCTGGGAGAAAAAGAAAGTGTCTCCTATGTATAATTACTAAATTCAGGCTAGTACTCTGACAGAAAAGGATTTCTACATCTAGTGAGCCACTCTGTTTTGAAGAAGAAACATTTCTAAAGTCACTAATAGGTGATTATACTTGCATAATACAAAAAGATATGAAAAAGGCTTCATCACATGCTATCAATAAAAAGACGTTCTCTTTTCCATGAAATCGAGTTGACATTTAAGCTTCAGTTCATTTACAAGAATCACACTTACGCTGTATTTTAATAAAGTCATTCACTGTTTCTTTCCAACATACATTCCAGGTTAACTTAATGAAGAATATTTTATTTCTGGCATGTATAGGAAAAATAAATAAGAATATTCTAAGAATACCTACCTCGGGCCCTGTAATATGTATCAGGCCCGACATAGCAGAGGCAATAGCATCATAGCCTGTCCTCTGAGAAATGGGTCCCGTCTGGCCATATCCTGCAACAAGAACAGACGTTCAGTGCTACACAGGGTAAGAAAGTGTGCTAAAAACCATCCACATCCAGAAATTGTGCAGTATTCTTCCAATTAGATCTGTATGACCCCTTGATGGAAACTGTAAGAGTTAACTAGTGTATAATTATACTACGGAAAACAAAAACCTGTTACATTGCTGGCCACATACTACCTTCAGGAATGTTTTGTTTGGCCTTTAGAACATTTTGAAATGATTTTATTTAGTTGACAACAATTTAAAAAATAAAATAAAAATAGCACACAAGACACGATTCCTAGCCAGGTGGTAGTGGGTCACACCTTTAATCCCAGCACTCAGGAGGCCGAGGCAGGTGAACCTCTAAGTTCGAGGCCAGCTTGGTCTACAGAGCGAGTTTCAGAGTTACATTGAGAAACCAAGAAAGCAAAAACACCATTACTGGCTTGTTTTAAAAATCAGAAAGGATAACCAATGTTATCCCATACTCTCCCATGGCAGCAAACCAAGTAAAGTAACAGCCCCCCTTTCACACGGGGCACAAACTTCACCTGCCAGTCTTCACCTCCTCTCTCCTTAGGCCTCCACTTATACCACTTTAGCTCAGCTCCAGGGCCTCACTAGACACTACCTGCTCTTCTTCCGTGTGACAGTACACACAGGGGAGCAAAGTGCATTTCCAAAGATTATGCTTACATATTTACAACTAAGCAAATAAATTTTAAGTGACAAACTTTAAAACTACATATTATACAATCCACAACTCCAGAGAACCTAGACAACGAAGAGGACCCTAAGAGAGACATACATGGATCTACACAGGAAGAAGAAAAAGAAAAGCTCTCCCAAGTGAAACATGGGGGTCATGGGAGAGAGTAGAAGGAAAGTAGGGAGGAAGGGAGGGGAATGGAGAAAAATGTATAGCTCAACAAAAGCAATAAGGAAGAGAGAAAGAAAGAGGGAGAGAGAGAGAGAGAGAGAGAGAGAGAGAGAGAGAGAGAGAGAGAGAGACCAACTGGCCAGACAGTGGTGGTGCACGCCTTTAATCCCAGCACCCAGGAGGCAGAGGCAGGAGGATCTCTATGAGTTCAGACTAGTCTGGTCTACAGAACGAGTTCTAGGAAGGGCTCCATAACTACTGAGAAACTTTGTCTCGAAATGCCCCCGCTTCCATCCCCCCCCCAAAAAAAAAGCCAACTGGGCAAACCATGGGAAGTAAACTAGTACTCAGCATTCCTCAATGGCCTCTGCTTCAGAATTAGCCCCCACCCACCCACAAAACAAGCAAAACTGAACATGTTTCAGGAATATGGTGGCACAGTGCATCCCTGTAACCCTAGCATTCAGGAGACCAAGGAAGGAAAACCCAGATGTTGAGGTTAACCTGAGCCACATTGCTAGACTCTACCTCAAAAAAAAATAGCTATAAATAAAACAATTTCATGACCTAACAGTGCTATTTTAAGTACATTATTTTTCTTTCTGACTTTTTTGTTCAGAAGGGAAGACAAAAATCAAGAGAATATGAGTAATCTTTTCTCCTTTTTTTCTGTCTTGGGTTCTTATTGTTTAATCCTAAAGGTTATAATAGGAGAGTTAGGATTGCGTCTCCAAATTCCATTTATTACCCAGAGAATGAACAAATAACGAGCTTTGCTGGCATGTCTATGTACATACCATGCTTTGTAAGTATCTAGAAGGGGTCGCCTGGGGACTTGCTTCACCAGACATCAAGAGAGCATCCTGTTCCATTCCCTCCTTCCCTCCCTCCAGTCTTCGACTTTAATATTTGCTTAGCAAGAAGGAAAGAAAAAAAGAACTCCCTTAGTGGCCTTTTGTAGAAAGCAGCCTACATCAAATTTTAATTCCCTTTATGCAATTTGTGTTCATAACTCTTAACCTCAAAGATGTGTAATATAATTGTTTATTGATTACAGTTGTTTCCTTCATGCTGAAATGCAACCTCTGGGAATGTTTCCTGTTGGATTGACGCTGTATCCTCAGCCTCTAGTAATGTTTGATGACAGTTAGTGGAGGAATAAATATTTATTATTTAAAAATAATCAGTGTTTCAAGATCAATCTATAAATAAAGAAGCAAAAGAAGTGAGTGTTTATATGGTCTAACCATTAGTTAATCCATCCAAACATATCTGCTGCCATAATTATCTCTGTTAGAAATAAAAGTCTATAAAAATCCTCACATGAAACAAGAGGTAATATTAAGATATTAAAATAGTTAAAGAGTAAAAGATATTTGCCTCTTTGCTTGTTTGTGCTTCTGGATCTTAAGAAAAGAACTTACTCTATAGTCCCAGAGGCCATGAACTCTCAACTTTCCTGCTTCAATATTTCCCAAAGTGCTGGTATTTCCAACAAGTTTGGCTGATATGCCTCATCATTAATGGGAAAAAATGTGCCATATGTTTCCTTGTGCTTTATTATGCAAATTTTCAAACAAAAAATAGAGCAAATTTGTAATAAACCTATCATCTCATTTCAATCATCACTATTTATAGACAATCTTATCTTCCAATGACACTATTGTATAAAAGAAAAACACAGTTCAAAAAAACTGGGATGTCCTGGATCACGTTAAAAAAAAAGATGTTTTCCATTAATTTCAAAATCAAAACTGATAGTTTCTAAACTAGTATTCTTTAGAGCTTTAAAAAAGTGGGGTGAAGGGACTTATGAAGAGATCATAATAATAAAATAAACTAAGTACAAGTCAGCAGTCTCCATGAAGAAATCTGGAAAGTTCCTCCAAGTCCAAGTCAATGGATCTCAAGGCAGCTAGTTTGCCTCTGTTAGTGGTACAGTAGCGCAGGCTTCAGTCTTCACTGCAATGTCACTCCAGCATGGGCCAGCATCCTGGGGCACAGCATAGCTGCTGGCACGCAGCAGAAACACTGTGCCTGCTAAACCACTGTGAGTTCAACAGGAGTCACGAGAAGGATGATGTCTCAGTGAGCTCAGCCTCAGGAAAAACAGAAAATCCAAATCCCCAACTGAGAGTAACTAAGGCCTCTCACCATCAGCACAGTTCTAAATGGAATCTTCTAGATGACCTTGCAGAGAAATAAGCTCCAGAGAAAATTGAACGGTTTATAAAATAAAATCACAACAGCTGCCTTGTGATATAAATTCTTTTTGTTCAGTTCATAACGAGTGAAACACAAATCCCCTAATTAAATTGTCATTTCCCAGTGTTTCTTGTAAAGAAATACATAGAGTGACACTGGAGACAGTAAGCACAGTGAAAAAGAGAGTGAGCTTTAGAGTTGAAGAAATCTAGATTCAAATTATGGTTCTGCCAACTATTAAAGCACCAACAATTCATTTAATTTTTCTGAGCCTAAATGATAATACAGACATTTATCTCACACATTTACTGTCAAAATTCAACTTGACTGCACAGCATAAGCAAAGTGAATTTCACATTGAACATTAAACATCATTAATCAATAAACATATATTAACTCACAAATAATACATGAGCTTACATTCTTCCATACAATATTTAAAATAGCATAAGAAACCCTGCCTTAAGGTAAGTCAAAGTAATAAAAATAGATATCCTAAATATTTAAATTAAATTGTCTGACATACATAAAAAATGGAAAAATTTGTTTACAGTTAGAACTTAATACTGCTCGTTGGACAAAAGAATGTGGCAATAATAATATTATATAATACAGCTGGGTATGGTGGTACACATCTTTGATCCCAGCAATAGGGAGGCAGAGATAGGCTAATCTCTGTGAACTTGAGGCTAACCTGGCCTACAAGTGATTTCCTAAACAGCCAAGGCTACATAGAGAGACCCTGTCCCAAAAAAAAAAGTAATATACATGTGTATGTACACATGTAAATGTGTGTGTGCCAAAAAATTATTCTGTCTTTTCACCTAATACTTAACTACTTAAATGCTATTAGTAATATCAACAGTTTTGACAATAGTATTGACAATTAAATTTCCTGTTGGTAATGTGAAAACTAATTATCTGCTGAAAAATCCAATAAATATCTGAGTATGAAACCCAAACACTTGGGTTTTGTTTTTATTTTTACAATTTCAGAAACAAGTGTGCTTATGATCCAAAGTTAACAGGAAAATGAAACTATCAGTTCTTTTTCTGTTGAAATTAAAGCAGTTGTAGAAAAGCACACTAGTGTCTCTCTCTCTCTCTCTCTCTCTCTCTCTCTCTCTCTCTCTCTCTCTCTCTCTCCTTTCCCCCCCCCGCCCCCACTTACTCTCACTGTGAGGAACAAGCTCGCCATCTTGTGGCTTCCATGAACACTGACAATAAAGTAAAGCTTGCAGGCTGAGAATGTGAGTAAACGTGGGGTCCTAGTTGCGTTGACTGGTTTCTTCCTAATAGTGTTCCGCTCCACGTCTTCCTCCTCTCCTTCACGGTCTTAGGAAGCAGCACTAACATGGGCACTCATGCTCTCTGTAACTCTGCGACACCTCACAGTGTCGATACCCTCTCTAACAATGCTTGCCCTTTGGGGAGTCACAAAACCCTTTGACAAATTGATTTGAGGCTCAGCACACAGCCCAGAAGAACTTAACTGAATGAATGCTGCTCACAGAGCCCGTTCCTGGACTGCATGGGGCCGGCTCACATATAAGTGGCACTCAGTACTTTTATCCACCTGCTCAGATCCAGCTCTCCTGAAAGAGAACACCCTAAGGGCAGCCTGAGGCTTCAGAATGGCGCTCTAGCCTGGTGATAACAAAAGGAGAGAGAACAAAATGAAGCATCACTCATCGAGGTGATTTCAGTGGCCTCTTGTCAGACCCTGCCTTATCCTTGCTTTGTGAGGTCCCAGTGATCTCTATAAAACGCAGGGAGTATACAACTGCAAGGAAAGGCGGTGCGTGCCTGTGGTCCAAGCATCTAAAGGCTGAGATGGTAGAAAAAGCAAGGCATTGCCAACCTCTATGCCTAAAAGGGTAATGACACTGTAAGGAATTTTTAATTAAATCATTTATTTCA